CCCCCCCCCCCCCCCCCCCACACACACACACACTCATCCCACTGCCGGAGCTCACAGCTGGCGCTCCGGGTCAGCAGCCGGTCAGGCCTGAAGAGCAGGATGGTCCCTGCTGGCCTTACCAGGGGCCCTGCACTGGAAATGGCGATCCCCTCTGAGGCCAGGCTCCCCTTGTCTTCCGCAGGAGCACTGGGCCTGCAGTTATTCCTCCAGCATCGTGGGGGCTGGTCCCTGGGGGAGAGATGGGGCCCAAAAGACAATGTGGGGCCCAACTGCACCGTCTCACACCGGACCCCTGGACCTGGTAAAGGGGACAGGAAAAGTTTTGAAGCAGTCAGGGTCCCACTGATTCAAGCACTTATTTTGTGTGTGCCTGCCCTGAAGAAGGGATGGCTTTGTGAGCAGCAAGGGGGGGGATTTTTCTCCCCCCGGCCCCAGCAGTGCTGCTGGTATCTGGTCTTGTCAGCTTTTTCCAGGAGCAGAACCACCCAACCCTTCTCTGGGAGTCTGTGGGGGCAGTTTCACTGTCCTCGGGGAAGGGTTCTGCCTGTCTCGGCAGCGCTTGGCACTGCGGTAGCTGAGCCCCTCAAGCTTTACTGGTCCCTGTGAGGCTGGGCAGTGCTGTTCTCCTCATCGTAAAGATGGAGGCAGTGAGCGGCTAAGTGACATGCCCAAGGAGGCTTAATTTTAATTTATGGAGATATCCTATCTCCTAGAACTGGAAAGGACCTCTAAAGGTCATCGAGTCCAGCCCCCTGCCTTCACTAGCAGGACCAAGTACTGATTTTGCCCCAGATCCCTAAGTGGCCCCCTCAAGGATTGAACTCACAACCCTGGGTTTAGCAGGCCAATGCTCAAACCACTGAGCTATCCCTCCCCCTGAGGCTGCAGCAGAGCTGAGAAATGAACCCAGCTCTCCCAAGTTAGTCCCCTCCCAACGGGACCATCTTTCTTGCTTCCTCCCTGCCAACCCCACCACGTTTTCAAGCTGGGCCTCACACTTGACGGGCAGCTGCTTTTGACAGGGGCAGTTGCTGGTTGTTAATAACGGGAATGGCACAACTGCTGGACTGAGAAACATCTTGCCTGGGGAACGCTGTGCTCACTAACGAACGGAGTACCAGGATGGATGCTCCTGAATTCCAATCCAGGCTCTGGCCCTGCTGGGGGACCTTGACCTTGCCTCTGTTTACTCATCTGTAAAATGGGGATATTAAAACCTCTGTCTCCCAGGGTTACAGAACTCAGGACTTGGGTCCAGGTGCAATAGGAGGCATCAGGGTTAGAGTCCAGCAGGGTGTGATCCTTGCGGTTTGATGGATTTCCCAGGTAGTTGCCTCTTTGCAAAACGTGTACGGTGGTAGAATTTGTCTGAAGTTATATGATGGCTGCTGAAGAGGAGAGGGGAGTGTCAGTCTAGTTCCTACTGAGCAGGGGACCATGGCCAAGACACAGCCACTGCATTGGCTTTTAATGGATCCTCATGTGGGCCATGGGTTGGATGCGTCGCCAGGCTGAGCCATGCCTTCTTACTGGGGCTCCTTTGCAGTCACTGGGGGTGGCCTATGCTGTACCCGACTGGGATCAATAGAGGAGGGCACTCCCCAGAGCGACCAGTCTGGCACTGAATTAACTGACAGCAGAAAGGAGAGAGAGATGCCATCTGGCTCCTGCAAGCCACAAGGCTCAGGAATAGGTTCTTGCTCTGGGATGCTAAAGAGGCTGTGTTTGAGATCTGCTTGGATCGGTCCTGAGTGCACGGAGAGGCTACCAAGCAAACATCGATAGGATCTGTAAGAAATAGTGTCGCTCGTTGAAGAGACCAGGAGCCCTTACAATGGATGTGATAGTAACATCACTGTGGTCCAGTGAATGGGATACTGGCCTGCTAGGAGCCAGGACTGGCTTCTCTTCCCAGCTCCGCTACTGTCTGTTGTGTGACCTTGGGCAAGTCACTCCCACCCTGTGTCTGTAAAATCCCACCCTGGGCCCAGGGAATGGACTGTCTCTTACCAACCCCATACACTGGGATTCTGATGAGGGTCTCCCAAGTGTGTGTGTGTATACACGCTACCGTTGAATGTTTGAGTTCAATAGCACAGGACCCAGGCCAGAACCTCCGGGCTGCCACTGTTAACCTTTGCTCAGGATGAAAATTGGCCCCTTATTCCGGTTCCGCTTTCTGCCTCTGCGAGCAATGATAATACCTTGCCTCTCACTCCATGACACCCCGTTGAGAGGGGCCTTGTCCAAGACCTTTTGAAAGCCTACATCAATTAGGGGCAAGCAGTTCTCCTCTCTCCACTGCTTTATCAACACAGTCAAAGGATTCTAAGATGAGTCAGACCCACTTTGCTTTTGCACAAATGGTGCTGGTGAGATCCAGCCAAGCACTACCCTCGACTCGTGCAGACTGTCCCATTGACATCAAGGGGGCTACTCGCATGCTAGAAATTAAGTGCTTTCTTAAGTACTTTGCTGGGTCAGGGCCTAAAATCACTCATCCTGCAACTAGATCCATGCAGCTGCCTCTGGGGCACCTCGCTGACACCAACAGGGCCCATGTGGGCGTAGGTGTCTAAATTACTCCATTCCCTGGGAGGAAATAGCAGGATGTTCTCTGCAGGGCTGTGCGCTCCCGCAGCTCTGATGTGTAATTACAGGCTACCGCTACCAGTCACTTAACGTTGCATCCAGCTCCTTGGAGAAGTGGCACCTTATTTTGCTGCTTTTACTAATGTCAGTTTCTCTCTCTAACTGTGAGCACCATTTTCCCCCTTTCCTTCCCCCCACCATGAGCACTAGAGAAATTGGTTTGATCAGCTCAGGCATGGGATCCTTGGGGGGCTGGTGTCACAAAGGATGCCCTGATTCAGCAACGCAAGCGGCTGCCTCCAGCAGCGTGGCCAAGCAGACCGAGATGAAAAGCTCCATTGTCCAATCCTGTTAGTGTCTTTATTCCCCCCTGATGTATTCTAGCTCCGGTGAAAGGCGGCCTGATGTCCTCAGGCTGGAGTGGGGGCGGGAGAGACAGGAGGGGGATCTTGTGGGGTGGATGACGCTAAGCAGCACCTTGAGGAAAAGCACAAGGCCATGAGATGGGTTGAGTGGACTGGGCTAAGGAGAGCTGGGTTCAGGTCCCAACTCTGCCACAGCCTTCCTGGGTGACCTTGGGGGGGTCACTCCATCTCTCGGTGCCTCGGTTTCTCCATCTGTAAAATGGGGATTAAAATAGTCCTCTCTTCTGCCTTCTGTCGGGCTAGTTAGTCTGTGAGCTCATTAGGGCAGGGCCTGTCTCTCAGTTTAGGTCTATACAGCACCTAGCACAACATGGCCCTGATCTCCCCTGGAGCCTCCAGGTGCAACTATAATATAAATAATCATTTTCCATAGGAAAGTGTGTGTGTGGTCACTTATTTGAATTTTACAAACTACAGATTTCCAGTAGGTAAAAGGGCCTAGTTTAACATGGTGCATGATTAGCCTTTGGAACTCACTGCTACAGGATGTCATCTAGGTCAGTGACTTAGTAAGATGGGCTTTTAAATGGGTAAGAGTTGCATCGGCAGGACAGTAGCTAACATAGTAATGGCACCATGTACAGCCCTTAGACAGCACATGAGAGTCTAAAGCATGAAATAAGCCTCAAGCTCCTCAGCAGGTGGGTCACTTTTATCTGCAAATGGGGAAACCGAGGCACAGAGCGAGGCAGCGACTGGCCTAGGTTCATACAGGGGCAGAACGGAGACTAGAACCCAGGAGTCCTGATCCCAGCCCTCTATTCTCCCCACCAAAGCATATTTTCCCAGAGCTGGAAACAGAACCTAAATCGTTTGACTTCCAGTCTCCGGCTCCGATCACTAGACCATGCTCCCTTCCAAAGCTAGGGCTAGACTCTCGGAGTCCCAAGTTCCAGTCCCCTGCTCTATTTCCCCACCGGCCTCCCTCCCACGCTGTGTCTGTGTCCGTCTCTCCCTTGCAATATCCCTTTGATTCAGTGCCTGACACTGGTCTAGCAAAAGCCCTTTGCAGGGTTTGACATGTCAATGATGCCATCTGAAACCAGGAACAACAACTCCCTGCCCTGCTCCTCCGCGCCCCCCAGGGGACTCGGGCAGGATTCCGCTCGCTCTGTGCTGAAAAACAGGGCCCTAAGAAGGCCTGAGGACAGCTGGGTGCGTAGGTGTCTGAAGAACTGTCTGGAAACGGCAGATGCCTCAGTGCGACGAGAAGAGGCAAACCGCGTGGTGGGGAAGGAGAGAGCGCTCCTGCTGGCAGCCCACTGGCTTCCACTTGCAGGTGCCCATCAAGAGTGGGCGGACAGTGTGACCCGTAATAATCATAGATGTGAGTGGAAAGCAAATGTCTTGCATGCAGGACTCCTGGGTTCTAGTCTGGGCCCTGAAGGGGAGCATGATGTAGTGATGGGGAGAGGGGTGCAGCACTCCCAAGTTCCCGTCACCCTCACTGACTTTCCCCGTTCCGTGCCTCAGTTTCCCTATCTGTTAAATAGGCCTCTTTAATTGGAGGCCTAATTCATTAGTGACTAAAGCACTTTGCTGAGTGAACCTGAGCTGGAGACGGGCATGGGCTTCTCATATCTGTCCACAGGAGAGCATGCTGCCTCTGTCCACGTGCAGATGCTGTGTAACGGCTTCCCCCACCAGGGAATTGCACCACAGATCATGAAATCGTATCATGGCCACAATGGAGACGCAAGGAGGAGGGTGTATGGAGCTGGTGTCCCCCGATGGAGATGGCGAATCAGCGTTCTGCAGGGCTCCGTCGTGCCAGGAGCTGTACATGCACATAGTGAGAGCGAGGCCCACCCTCAAAGTGCTTTCAGGCTAAATAGACAAGGCCAATGGGGAAGCAATAGTAGGCCCTAGTTCTTATCACACTTTTCATCAATAGAGCTCCAAGAGCTTTACAAAGGAGGTCAGTATCATTACCCCCATTTCACAGATGGGGACACTGAGGCCCAGGGAACAACTTGCCCAAGCTCACCCAACAGCCCTGGGATTGAACCCAGCTCCCACGCCCCCCAGTGGGGTGTTTTATCCACTAGGTCACGCTGCCTCACCCAACCCAAGGTCATACAACAGGCTCAGTGGCAAAACTAGGACTAGCCCCCAGCTCTCCTGAGTCCCAGGGCAGTGCTGGAGAGCTGCTGCTCCTTACTACCTTTCAGAGATTCTCCCTGAGGGCCCCCACAGGAAACTCTTGTCTGCCTCTTCTGCATACCTGTCCGTGATCTATATATATATTTTTCTCTCCGGTAGATTTTCCGTGAAGACCCTGCTGGAGAAATACACCACGGAGCCCATTGACGATTCGTCGGAGGAGTTCATCAACTTCGCTGCCATTCTAGAGCAGATCCTGAGCCACCGCTTCAAAGGTAACGGTGCGTGTGCTCGCGTGGACTGGCTGGGCTCCCCGCAGGGCGTTCGGCTGCGTGTGTGTGTCTGTGCATGCATCGTGTTTACACACTTCTGCAATGGGAGACCTGCCTGTGGACACACCTACCGTAAGCACAAGTGTGTACATGTCCGCTTCCGTGCGTGAGTGTTTGTGCACATCTGTTGCATGCACGTGTGTGCAACTGTTGGACACATATTTGTGTGCAATTGTCTGCATCCAGGTGGGCAGATGTCTGCTCCTATTGACTGTGTGTGTGTGCAACTGTTGTGTGCATGCATCTGCTACGGAGGATGTCTGGAGCCTCCAGCATTGGCCAATGTTTAAGGCAGGCTGGCCCCCTGGACGGCAGGGACCTCTCCTGGTCGCAGCCCAGCCGTCTCCTCTTCTCTGTCCCAGGTCCCGTCAGTTGGTTCAGCTCCGATGGGCAGCGCGGCTTCTGGGATTACATCCGCCTGGCCTGCAGCAAGGTCCCCAACAACTGCGTCAGCAGCATTGAGAACATGGAGAACATCAGCACGTCTAGGGCCAAGGTCAGGCAGGGCCCCAGGCGGCTGCTCCCCCGCTGTCTAAGCCAACAAGCTGGGCGGGTCCCGTCAGGGGAGGGGGGAAAGCAGCAGACACATGGGAAGGACAGAGAGCCCATCTCAGTGGGTCTAGCAGGGTCGCTGGGCCAAAGGGCCCCTGCCACTCCTAGGCAACCTGGAAAGGGACACCAGCTAATGGGGCAACCCCTGTGCCCATCCTTCCCAGAAGGGTGTCTGCTGAATTTGAAGGGGGCAGTCACAAGACACTAGCTAGTGCCCAGAGACTACGGTGATGGGCACCCTGTGCTGGATGGATGGATGGGTGTCAGTGGGAATGGATAGACTAGGTGGGTGGATGGATGGATGTTGACACTAGAGGCAGGTCCTCCTAACCACCCAGTGCCTGGATCTGTCGCAGGGCCGGGCCTGGATCCGCGTGGCGCTGATGGAGAAACGCATGTCGGAATACATCACCACGGCCCTGAGGGACACCAGAACCACCAGGTGAGCGGCTTCCGCACACAGCAGCGCGCCGTCCTGCTGGCGGGGTGCAGACAGGCCGTTTCGCCCACAGCCGGGGCGAGACCGAGGGAGCCCAGCGTTTGCCCGTCTTGGGGCTGTGTTGGTAGGAAGAGCCTACGGGCCCCATCCACAGAAGACTGTAGCAGGATGGGCTTCCCTTGGAGGCTACAAATCCCCACCATACGTTGCTGCCCTTTGGTCGGAGCAGTAGGGTTGCTGTGTGGCTCACGTTTCCCAGCCCCTGGGGCAAAGGAGGACCCCATCCCTACTCCTCCTTGCCCCTCACTGGCTCGGTCCGCTCGCCTCCTGAATGGGAGCGCGGGAGCCCGCGACAATGCTCGGGTGAGATGCAGGCGCCTCGCCCTGTGCCTCAGACGCATGCAGCACAGGGCTCCCCGGGGGCGCGGCGTGGTAAGAACAGCACCTTTCGCATTTACGATGGATTTCACGAGCCAGTGCAGGGGCATGGTCATGTGAGTGTGATCTCTGGGCTTCATATCGCAGCGCTTGGCTGGGTCTCCAGGGCAAGGCCGCGTGAGTGTGAATGGACGGATGCCAGGGAGACCCCATGGAGCTCGTAGCAGTGGGCAGGCATGTCTATGTGGTAAGGCTGTGTGGGAGCATGTGTGGTGTTGCTGGGTGTTCTCCAGCCCCCTCCCCAGGGATAACGGTGTCTGTCCTTCCCCACAGAAGGTTTTACGACGACGGGGCTATCATGCTGCGAGAGGAGTCCACTGTGCTCACTGGGATGCTGATCGGCCTCAGCGCCATTGACTTCAGGTAGGAGGAGCCTGAGACCAGTTCCTCTTGAAGGGGGGTATGACAGAGAGCTATAAAATCATGACCGGTGTGGAGACAGTGAATAAGGAAGTGTTATTGACCCCGTCACGCAACACAAGAACAAGGGGTCACCAATGAAATGAATAGGCAGCAGGTTTAAAACAAACATAAGGAAATACTTCTTCACACAATGCACAGTCAACCTGTGGAACTCCTCGCCAGGGGATGTTGTGGAGGCCAAAAGTATAACTGGGTTCAAAAAAGAATTTGCCATCAATGGACCTATCCTCCATGAGCTTATTAGCCAAGATGGTCAGGGACACAACCTCATGCTCTGGGTGTCTGTTAACCTCCAACTGCCAGAAGCTGAGATTGGACAACAGGGGATGGATCACTCAATTGGCTGCTTTGTTCATTCCCTCTAAAGCATCTGGCACCAGCCACTGTCAGAAGACAAGATACTGGGCTAGATGGACCATTGATTTGACTCAGCGTAGCCGTTCTTACGTTGAATCAAAATCTCAGAGGTATTTTTAAAGCACCCATTACAAAATACCTAGAGCAGTGCTGAATGACCACCTTAGAAAACCCAGAGGGAGACAGACCGACCAACAGGGACAATGCACATTTCTCATAGCGAGATCCAAGCACTCTGTGCTCATAACCAACCGGGGCTCCTCTGTCAGGGCTAAAGAATCACACACACACACACACACACACTTTCTATAAACACTGAACAAGGGACTTCATTAGAATTACAAAAAACAGTCAGCCCAAAACCTACATTAAAAGAACGTTATTAAGGTGGCAAAGAAGTTAGGAAATGCCAGTATTAAGATTGCCTGTTTAACCTTCGTTCAGCCCCTTTGTGCGTACGTATTATGGTCGTCTTTAATGATGTGAGCTCACGCTATTTTTCCCACAGGACCCCTGGCTCATTCAGTGAGCACCAATCCGCTATTTTGTTTTCTCCTCACCAGTCAATGGGTGACATCCACGTACTGCATCCTATTCAAACCCCGCTCGGAAGACAGCATTATTCATTTCTTCCTGGGTGTTTTGCCACTAACGCATCCGAGCGCTTCACGAGTGTGATCCTCACAACACCCAGGTGGGATGAAGGGTGTTGTTTTCCCCGTTTTACAGATGAGGAACTGCGTCACACACATTTTTCGAATCATTTTGGGTGCCCACTTCGAGACACCTACGATGTGATTCTTTTCGGAGTATTTGGCATTAGATAGCACTTTACATGTTCAAAGCGCAGCTCCCACTGCCTTCCGTTGCAGCTGATAACGTTCAGCCCTTCTGTAAATCAAGCCCCAGGGTTCCAAGTCAGGCCCCCACAAAAACACGAGGATCTCATAATTAGTGAAAAGCTGGGTTTAAGTAACTCACTCAGCATCACACCAGGAACAGGGCAGAGGAAGGGACAGAATCTATTTCTCCAGAGCAACGTTCACCTGCCTTTAACCAGATCATCATTTCCCTTCCTGCAATCCCCTGCCTCCTTCACTACCCACCTTCCAACTTCTGCAGCCAGTGAGGCAGGGCCCCTATACACCACAGCCTCCTTTGCCGCAAAACTCTGGTTCAACCCCAGAGCAGGCCCCATGCACTGGAAGAAACAGCGTGATCATCTAATTAAAGACTGCAGCATCATTCGTGTGCCCAAGTGGGCTGAACGAAGGTTGCACAGGGAACCTGAATTCTGGCATTGCCTAATATTTGAGTGCTTGACTTTGTAACTTTAATAATGGTGCTCCCGGTGGGGAGAGAGAAACCGGGAGTGGAAGTTGGTGTGGGGGGCAAAGACTGGGACTGGGAGCCAGAGGAGGGAAACTGGGACTGCTTGGGAAAGTGACTGGGAACCAGTGGGGCAGAGGGAAGGAGTTGATGTGGGGAGACAGATCTGACACCCCCGCGGGTCATCAGCAAGTGGGAACCTTTAGATCCACTGCACAGATCTCTGCAACTTGTTAACAGCGTAGCTGACAGCAATAGTAGGTTGTCATCCTCTCTGTGGAGCCGCACTATAGTGAAATGGGATAATTTCCCAGTGGGTTTCACAGATATTTGCTGACAACGGAGGAATGGTGGGACTCGGGGATCTTGGGTTCCACTCCAGGCCCTAGAGGGCAGTGTGCTTTAATGTGCAAAGACTCTTCTGCCTGTCCTCCCACCAATTTCCCCCCCAAGCATGACCCCGTCCTCTCCAACATGGCCCTGTCCTGCCTGTTCCCCACCCCAGCTCCTTCTCTCTGTCCCATTCTCCTCCCCGAGCCAGTCTGTCTCCACTCCTCAGGCTTTCCATCCCAGTCCCAGTCTTCCTGCCTAGCACATCCTAGTCTCACCCCTCCAGGTTCCTCATCCCAGTCCCAGTCTCTCCCGCACTCCCAGTACCTGTCTCCTCGCCCAGCCATTCCCAGTTTCCTCCCCCGGTTCCTTGTCTGCAGTGCGTTTGCCCAGCCACAGGGCCGGCTCCAGGCACCAGGCACCCAAGCTGGTGCTTGGGGCGGCACCTGGAGGGAGGCGGTGCGGCGCTCCGGCCGCCGGGGAGAGCGGGGCCACAGCCGGGCTCGCCGCCCTCCCCCCGGCGCTCTGGCCGCTGGGGTCGGGGGGAGAGCCGAGCCCCCGCCGGGGCTCGCGGCCCTGC